GTGCTGGAGCAGAACAGATGAAGGAGGCCGGGCGGGAAGGATACGAGGAAGGGAAGGGGTCTGCACAGGAGAAGTACGAGCACGCGAAGGGAACTGTTGGCGCCAAGACGCAGGAAGCCAAACAGGCTATGGAGGAACAGAAGCAGCGAGCAGCGGAATCGATGCAGGAGCAGCAGGAGAAAGCCGCGGGCGCCATGCAAAGCCTGAAGGAGAAGGCAGGCGCAGCTATGGAGGGTCTGAAGGAGAAGGTCGGGATGGGAGGAGGGGGGGCAGGAGCAGGCGAGGGAGGGCAGTGAGAAAGGAAGCAGAAGGGTTGACTTCTGCGAGCCACGGGTCAACGAGATGGGTGAAGGAGATCTTCAGTGCCGCCATCGAGTCTTCAGCGTTGCAAGCCACAGATTAACGAGGCGGGTGGAGGGGATCTTCAGTGCTCCGAGTCTCCGGCGTTCAATGCATTCGGTCGTAATGGAGGTCATATGCACATAAGCATTATAGTTTAAAACCGTGTGGGGTAGGAGCCTTAGTTATCCTGTTAGAATCTGGCCTGGAAACGAGTTTCGTGTTTGAATCTGACCTGGAAACGAGACATAATACGGATGCAATAGAGCGCTGCGTTGACACTTTTTGGAGGACCTGAGTCTAAGCGCCGCCATTCTAATCTGGTCAGAGTTGCGCAGCGGAGCACGCAGGGTTGTAAAATGCCATGGAGGTAAAAAAAAAAACAAAAAAAAAAAATTGGCTAACCACTTCACATTTTACACCTTTACACGTACCTGGACTGCGTTCTGGAGCAGATGCACTCGCACCGTCGAAACGTTTGTCACGTATCGGGGTCGTAACGAGGGCCAGATAATTTTGGAACGTCGTGTAGTGGAGCGAGGCCCATTACTTGATAGGCCCAGTAATTGATACTGTTTTTCGTTTTTTTTTTTTTTTTTTTTTTTTTCCCAGTAGTTGATGCTTGATTGATGTGTAGCCTTGGGCGCTGGGCCCGTTTTCCAGATACGGGGCCAGATTCTATATAGAACGTCTCTTGTAGTGGAGCGAGGCCCAGTGTCTGGTAGGATTTGATACTTTGATACTTGACTGATGAGCAGCCTTGGGCGCTGGGCCCGTTTATAATAAATAATCCGAGGCTGTATTAAAAGAAGGAAATAAGTAATTGGCTTTTCTCTGCCGTCGATAGACATCTGATGTGTGGATGGGCAATCAGTCCCAGTAATGAAATTGTTTAGGCATCAGAAAATGTTGTAGAATTTCCGGAGCAGTTTGGATACCTATCTCAGAGTTGTTACGCAGCGGAAAAAAAAAAAAAAAAAAAAAAAAAACCGAAGTGGATGTGGTACAAGTCATTGGCTGATAAGCGCACATTACAAATTATAGCTTTTTCATTTTTTTGTTGCTGTTGGGGGGGTACAGTTTTATTAGGCTGTAATAATACTGGTGAGAGGGGGGAAAGGGGGAAAAAAGACAAAAGTGTATTTGTACGGATTTCGTCGAAAGTGCAGCAGCGTAGTATATTGTGGATAGGGAGAGGAAGCTGTCTCCGACGAATCAGTCTCTCTCTCGAGGGAGAGGATTGTCTATTTGGAGGATAGAGATCAGTTAAACATTGTCAACCTGAAGTCGTGGACCAATTTGCAGCTGCCTGGAGAAAAAAAACAAAAACAGTTTGGAGCTGCTGGAAAAAAAAAAGAAGAAAAAGGAAAGGAACGTGTAGCGTTGATGGCTGGAGGTGGACGGGTATACGTGACGGACGCGGACCTTATTGGGATACCGATTTGGAGTTGTCCAGACAGTCGTGACATACCGATTTGGAGTGGCGGATACATTTGCTCTTTTTTTTTTGTTTTTTTCAATAACACAGCGGTACCGTAACAGGTCTCTGGGGTTGGCCGGTGTGAGGGTAGTCCGAGAATGTAATTTGTATGAAAAACCCAAGCTCTGTATTTCCTAGTTTTCTGATCTGGTTTTGACCGTAACCATTCGCCTGTCCATGCGCCCGCGCACCCAAGCTTTGCCAGCGGACTGTGCTCCCTGCACATAGCTGAGCTTTTTTTTTTTTTTTTTTTTTGGCTTCTGAAAGCTCTGGTGTGTTTCATGTGAAATAAATATTCTCACTTTGTGATCAATGATTTTGTATTCTATTTGTATGCTACAATCTTCCCCCGAATACAACGCACGGTCATTACAGCAGAATTTGGTGCATCTTTCAGTCTAAATTCAGCCATATCGACCGTGCGTTGTATTCGGTTGAAGACTGTAGCGCAGTCGTCACCTGCCAGATGTGACACGTCGGAAATGACGGAAATGACCCGTGCCCGATGGGACACGTGGCAGATGACACGTGATAGATGTGACACGTTGCATCCTCGATCTTTGGGCCACTTCTGTTTGGCTTTCTCTATCTTCTATGTCTGCACCATCGCTTGGTGGACAGGTCGTACTTGTGGTCGCAGATTCTCGTTACACCAGGTCGAAAGTCTTTCCCCAGAGCCACCTGTGCCCCATATCCGGTAGCCGATCCACGTGTCCCTCCGCTTTCAGCTTGATCGCGTCTGTGGTACCAGATCCACGTGGTACCGGAGGCACGTGGTACCACAGAGGAGATCAAGCGGAAAGCGGTGAAGAAGGTCGTCGTACTTCGTACCTTCCGAGGTCGTGGAACCATGTCGTTTCGTATCACGTGTCCGTTTTTTTCTTTCTCTACGCGTAACCAGATTCACGAGGTTCCTCTCCCATACATTGCACCTTGATCTCCGCTGTCGTACCAGATCCACGTGTCCTCTTTCTTTCGCCTTTCGCCTTTCGCCCTAACCAGATCCACGTGGCACACCCCTTTCGCCAACCTCCGGAACTCTGTGATTTTATTTTCTTATTGTTTTTTTGTATGTTTTTGGTGCATTCCAACCTGTGCCTTCGCTTTGTCCTCGACTACATCTGGGTTACCCGAACGTCCTTTTCCCTACTCCGTTTCGTAATCTGTGGTATCCACGTGGTACGGGAGCGACGTGAGCGTGGAACACGTCGAGGTGGGACTAGGGCCCGGTGGTATCACAGGAACGTGGTACCGGAGGTACGTGTTCCTGGTTCCATGCGAATCACAAGTCAGGAGCAACGTGGTCGTGGAACCACATCCACGTTGTAGAACATCGACGTGGTAGAACATCAAGATGGGACCGGAGGCATGTGCTACGGCATCCTCACTGGTGCCAGAGCCACGTGGTACCACGTGGGCGAGCAGACATGGTACCATCGTGGAACCACATCTACGTGGTAGAACATCAACATGGTACCGGAGGCACGTGCTACGGCATCCTCACTGGTGCCAGAGCCACGTGGTATCACGTGGGCGAGCAGACATGGTACCACACCCACGTGGTACCGGAGGAACGTCGTTGTGGAACCACATCCACGTGGTACCGAGCCACATGGTAGAACATCAACGTTGTGCCGGAGGCACGTGCTACGGCATCCACACGGATCCACGCGTTATTGGATGCAAATCCACGTGGTACCCACTAAGGCTAGAGTCACGTGGTACCGCACTCGCTTGCAATGTTAGATGTAGGTCTTTCCGCTGTTGAACGGCAGCCACGTGTGCACGGTATCCACGACCACTCGAGCAGTTTGAGGTACCACGACTCCACGTGTCCGTGTTGAGTACCACACCCAGGTTTCCCATCGCTTTGGCCTTCATTGCCTCTGAGACCGTCTACGATCCATCTCCTCTCGCCTACCAGACAAAATCAATTAAAATAAATCCTCGTGTATGCTCTGTTTCGCTCGCCCTCGCTCGTCGTGCCTGTGCTCCATCGCTCTCCATCTCTCTCCCCTCGAGTTAACGTTGACCCCCACTCCACGGCGGCCCCTTTCCACCCCCCTGAAGTCCGACCATCGCTGCGGTCACCATTCACACGGTGTGAATGTCGATATCACAGATTCATTTCCCAGAGATTTTTTTTTCGTGAAATACGAAAAAAAGCACAACCTGGCATGTAGATCTCTGCAGCTACCATGTTGAAACCTTATCTCCTTCACACCACGGCTGTGGACGTCAGCTTCTCCTGCGCGCTCGTTGTCATTACTTGCGTCCTCCGGGCCTCCCGATCCCTGCCAGCTCAGCTCCTTCGGGCCTTGCCCTTTCATCGCAATCCCAGTCGCGACCATTTTTCGTCCTCGTCTTCCCTTCTCATTGTGTATGTCTCGAGGGTTGTGTAATTATTGTTGACATCATCCGCAATTGCGTATGTTGAATGCGGACAACGAGAACACACCCATGCGGCTGTCTTCTTTTTTTTTTTTTTTTTTTTTTTTCCTTAATAATTTGGACAATCTATCGATTTATGCCTGTCATCGTCACACATGGCGCATTCAGCTACCTCTATCTATTGTAGTGTACAAAACCAGACCAGCGCGCTCCGGATTCTGTTTTTTTTTCCCTATTTCAGGGTGTTACCACGTGTTCTGTCATAGCGACCTATGTCTCTCACCTCCGATCTTGTCTTGACCTCATCCTGTGCTTTGCCGTCTCTCCCGGTCGTTTTGCCACGTGTCTCGTGGCGTAAGACCTTCGTTAACCTGCGTATGGCACCTCCCATCTTTATCCGAATAAAACGCCCGGGCATTATAGCTGTATCTAGACTGAATGTTGCACCAAACACGGTTACAATGACCGGACGTTCTATTGGGGCGAAGATGGTCGTCCGTCCTTTCTGCTCTCCATCTACTTCAGCCCCCGCTCGCCCCACGTGCCCTATCAGGGTGTCTCGTGGTATAAACTCTCCCTTAACCTGAGTATGTCCTTATAGCTCTTAATGAACTGTTTCCACGGTCCTTTCTGCTCTCCGTCTACCAAACCCCCGCTTTGTTTACGTGTCTTATCAGGGGTTGAACACATCTATCACAGGCCACCTAAACCACTTGCCCCCTCACTTCTCTGATTGACCTGCCTCGTGTTGATTTTCCGTATTTCTCAATTTCGTCTGACTTGTGAGTCGTTACACCTCCACCATACCACATATGACTGATGTGCCTCGTCCCAGCATTCTGCTTGGTCGCATGGTTCACAGCCTCCTTCAGCAAAACGTTGTCCCCCTTGGTCGCATGGTTCACGTCCTCCTATCCACTTCGTGCTTATGCCTTGTCACACGTCATCACCACAATTTTTTTTTTTTTTTTTTTTTTAAAGACTAATTCTTTTAGCCCAACCAATTTTCGACCTCGTGCAAAACAAAAAATCTAAAAATAAGTGAAAGAATCATCATCGCTAATATAGTAATGACCATTGTTCTCTTTTTTTTTTTCTTCTTTTTTTTTTTCTCTTTTCGCATCATCCTTATCTAGCTTACTGGGACGGACGTCCCGAAAACCCAGTCAGCTGCATCTGCCGGAGAGAATACAGTAGGGGGGGGAGGGGGGGGGKGGGGCAGTTTGGGGCTGGACGAAGATGTCCGGTGGGACAACTCCTGAGACGTGCACCCACCCGATCCACTCGTCCAGCCCGTGAGAAAAACACCGGGGTGCGGTGGGGTGCGGTGGGGGCGGGCAATTTTGGGGCTGGACGTATTTCGAGGGGCATAGGGGTGGCTGACCGAGCCACAAATCCTTTTTTTTTTTTTTTTATACATATTATACAAACCGGGAAACGGGCCCGGCGTCCCTCACATATGTGCAGGCATCCAGCGGCCTAGCTCAGTTGGTAAGGCACGCAAGTGGCATTCAGGAGGTCTTGGGTTCAATCGCCATTGGCCGCATGCACCTTCCTGGGCAAGGTTGGCGCCCGCCACCTAGAGATATGCCGTTGGTCCCCCCGATGGCATTGAGCAGAGACTGCTGATGTTCATAGGGGGAGGGGACCGGAGGGGAGGCACAGTGACTGGCCCATCGAAGAAGCTCGGTCCTGATGCTACCGGCTGACCCCTGGCCGATATGGCCCACCTGCTGTAGCAGCCTAGCAGGTATCACACCTGCTGGTGGGTGCAGCTCCCGCATGTTCCCTCGTTGGAGGCTTGAGCACGGATGTGGCTGCTACGGGGTGCCCGTAATACTATAATGACAATAAAAAAGGCCTGAAAGGCCGTCCTGTCTAGATTCGACAGGTAATTGAATTGGTTGGGCTAGCCTTTGAAAAAAAAAAAAAAAAAAAAACCATATGTGCAGGGGGCTCCTGGTTATGAGCGAGGCATCACGGGCCAAGCCCATATAGGGAGTCACTGAGTCACAAAGAAAAGAAAAAGGCAAGAGAAAGGCAAGAAGACAACTATATGTTCCTGACTCAACCAAGAATCGAGAAAACAGAAATCGCATATACTTCTAACACTCTTTTGTACTACTCCAAATACTCTGAATACTCTTCATACTGGGAAAGCTAAGTCGAACTAAGAAAACAAGCTGAGGAATCTACAAAAGTAAAGTTCAGCCTGTGCTTCTAAGTACTTTCAAATTGTATATCTGTCCTTTTTTTTTTTTTTTTTTTTTTTTAACATTGTAGCAAGCTTAAGCTATAAAGGGCTAGACTGAACCTACATCAGCAGATAACTAAGGGTCTCGCCGCACACGAAACGAGTGCATCTGCCCAAGAAAGGTGGCAAAATAGGTTCGTTACTACTTATAGCAAACCGATGAACCTGGCCATTTTCTGCGGGAAGATGCACTTGTTTCGTTTACGTTTTGTGTCCCGTGCGGCGAAGCTCTTGAACCTGGCCATTTTCTGCGGGAAGATGCACTCGTTTCGTTTAGGTTTCGTGTCCCGTGCGGCGAAGCTCTAAAACTATGAAAAGCGAGACTGAGCCTTCAGCAACAAATGACTAAAGAGACAAGTACTGTACATTTTCAGACAACAAAAAAGGGGGAAAATTCGAGCTGCGGATGCTGCACCTGCTCCACCCACTGCAGCAGCTGCTACGTCCACTGCAGAATGCGCTGCATGTGCAGCAGGTTT